TATTATTACTTAGGTTTTCACGAATTTTAGTAGGTAATTATAGAATTTCCAGAAGTATGTCTGAGGCCTTTCCACCAAGGCGAAGCGGAGGGGAGAAATGTTTTGAACCAATCAGATTTCATTCAGATTGTACGAAATTCAGAGAATGAGATCTAGTTGGTTGTTCAAAATATTTCTCCGCTGCTCCGCCTTAGTGGAAATCGGGCCTTAATTTAATGATCCGGAAATTCAATATGTCGGCCACAGCTCAAACACCAAACTACTAGTGATAAAACGGATTCCTTTGTCTCCATCCATGGTCTTGCATCCGCGCCGTAATTACAGCGGAACAATAAACCCTCCACATTACCCTAACAAGTCAAAAAACAACCCATTAACATAAACTTTTTATGGCACGAGTGTACGTTTGCTACGTTCGAGGAATATCTGTCGCGTAGAGGAAGTGATTTGTTTGTATGAGCGATCATCCTTTTGCTTAATGCTATACTTGGGTGAAATATTCATAGGGAAAATAATCTTGGAACTTATTAAAATGTACTTAGGTACTCTTATTATTTTGGTATTTTACTGTATAAAAAGAACAACAGCTTATAAACAAAACTGTCTAAAAAAAGTAATGCCATGAAATATTTTTTTGCTGTTTATAAAAAAGACAAAAAAATACTGAAATTCTTTAATATAGCTAGCCTTGAAAAGGGCCTACATGATTAGATTACGTTGTCAGGACTAACATGCTATGTTAGCATATTAGGTCCCAATATAGTTTGCTCTACCACTACTTCAGGACAACATCGGCTGGTGCTTGAGAATAAGTGGCAGAAGAAAATCTAATTTATTGCAGTTATATTTACAAGCTAATGTAATAATTACCAAGGAGTCAGATATTCTAGGTGGACCGACGATCTGGTAAAGGTCGCGGGAGAGACTGGATGCGGGCAGTGCAAGACCGTGCATTATGGAAAACCTTGGGGGAGGCCTTTGTATATCAGTGGACGTCATTTGGCTGAAACAACATCAACAATAGATATTCTTGATTTAAAAACATTTCTTCAATTCCATAGCTTTTTATCTGTGCATAAATGGTAATGGGCTGATAGGTAAATTGATCGCTACGTGAAATTGAGAAGGCAGCTTGATCGTTCCATTAAAACGGCAACAAACAAGTTAACTGTTCATCCATATTTAACCGACATAATAAAAGCCCAAAGTCAATGTTGGAAGTTTATGAAAGAAAAGAAAATTTAAAATGAATTATAAAATACAACATTGAGGTTGCATTTTAAATAGAAAAATTCCACAAAATAATCAAGTATTTGAAATCAATTATTTTTTCAGCAGGCTGCACAATAAAATATCAGCGAAGGGTTTTTATAACTTGAAATATTTCACTTGTTTGCAGAAAAGCGTCTGTGTCAATTAATATGATAAATAATTCCATTTGCTCGCCGACTGATCAACACATTTTGTACATACATGCTCTGTATAATAGGCGTGTGAACGGGATGAGTGTCGTAAAAATCACACTCCATTTTTTTTTATATAAAAAGATCATTTTAAAAGTTGTGGTCAAATAGTACCTACCTGGTTAAGCATAAAAAAAGCTTTTCTTAATAATCTTCGTGTGTCTAGAGAAGTTTTTTCTGTTTCTTCGTTTGTATAAAGAAGTTCTGCGATACGGGTTGTACCTACTTATTACGTCTCTAATACTATCTAAGCTAGGTACTGCCTAAGCTATGAATGTAAAAATCATAATTCTTATATTAATTTGCATTAACTTATTAAATAGTGCTCACAAATCGTCATTATTATACTAAAATATCGCCAGCACAGGTAACTTTATCGATCACTAGTTTTATTTTATTACCTGTACTCTACTTTCAACCTGTTCTAGCACCCATCTCAAAACGAAGTGAATTTATTTAAAAATAAAAACCACGTGAATTTTTTAACGAGATTTATTGACAGCGTGTATTTAAAAACTTTTTATCATCTGTAAAACGTCGACCATCATTCGCGAGATCGACTCAAATAAACGACACACTGTCCAATAAAACACAAATAAAACAAATCCTTATCGCGAAATAGGCGTGTGTTTTATGCCTTTTTAATGCTATGGAGTTTTTGAAACAGTTGCATAAAATAAACGATATTGTAGCCCGGGAGCTTGATGTAATATTTTGTAGAGTAGAGATGTTTTAATATCGGTAAATGAGGGATGAAAACTAAACAAAGTAATATTATAATATTTTTGCCTCTTGGTGATTTAAATGTAGCCAATTACACAATGCTGCTTCAAACTATATTCATGTAACAATTATAAAAATATACATAGTTTCTACAAAGTAAACATCATTTTACTGTTCAATTTTAGAATGTGAAAATAATTAGATGAATTAGAATTAAGAATAGTAATCATACCATTGGTAGACAGACAAGACAATTAAGATGATAAAAAACTTACATAGGTTTATAGGTAGGTACTTCTATAAATTCTCTCCTAGCTCCCAGGCTATAAGTCGCGAGCCGCACTTACCACTGACTGCGTTAAAATACAGCATATTCGTGCACAAAAAACTTTTTAGTGTTAAAATAAAATGAGAATAGGCAGTTAAAGTGGATTTCGTATCCGAGAATGGTGCCGTTCGTTGTCTTTTTGGCAGGCGCATTCGGGGCGGCAGTGGCGAATGTTCAGGAGGTGATTCTAATTGTTTTGTTCCGCGGTTTATTGTCGGATTTAACCAAATTTCCGTACGTCGAGAGGCGTAGCGAATGGACGCGGTTGTTCTTTTATGGGAATAAACTGTTGTTTTTAACAGGCCGTGCATTACCCTGTCCGAACGTCGAGGTTGGAAGCGGCATGTTAATTTGGGGCGCAATGCGGTAGTTTTCAAACGTTCGCGAATATATAAAGTACGGTAATGAGCTGAGATATTGTCGTTGCGGATGTTTTTGTGTTTTTTAAAACTACTGTGGCTGAATAATAGTTAGTTTTTAGAACGGCAGTAAGTACTAATTATATAAATTAATTTTATAACATTTTGAAAAGTTTCGTGCATTTTAGCTAGTCCTGGTAATTAGATAGTTAAGGATAGTAGTTATTTTTTGTGACCTAGTTCATGGACCTATAAAAAAAGGCGGACGGAACTCGCGCTACAACAAAACTGTGACGCAAAATTTTGGCGTTTGTCTATTGTGTGAGTGAATTTAGGGATGCCATGTTAGCCAAAACATTTTACCCATTTATTTTAAGAAAAACATAGATCGGCAGATGTTACTTGGAAATGTAGACAGAATTATTCCGTGCCATTTTAAAAGGATGAAAGGTGAATGCGTTGAGGTAGGCGCGAAATTTTCAATGTTCAAATTTTCTTACATTGTTTGCAAGTCAGTGTGTCAGGGTATGTACATAATGTTGATCAAAAATGATTCACGCAGTTACAAATTACGAATCTTGTGTACATTATAATCATAATCTTATGCATCATCAATATATTATTATTATCTCTGATAGATTTTTTTTAACATACAACCTGACACTGACTTGCAATCAATGTAAGAAAATTTGAATGTTGCAGTTCCACATTTTTGGGAAGGATAAAATTTGCCTATGAAAATATATCCCATTAAAACACAATTATTATGATAAATTATTTTATTTCAACAGTATGCGTAATAAATAACTAAAAAGTCCTAAAATTATTATTAATTTCCCATATTTCGGGTAATTTTCCCACGTAAATAACTGAGAACACTGGTCTTTGACGTATTATTTTTTCGAGTGAATGACGTTTGATTTCAATTAATTTCAATATTTTAATGTCGGGAAATAAGTGATTGGATTATTATTTTGCCTGTGAAATGTGATTCCTTAATTTTTGTTTGTTCGAACAGAACGGTTTTTACACATTTCATCACACAAGACATGTCGTATTCGTGTTGTTTTTTCGCTGCATAAAAATGTGTCAACTGTGTGAAGTTTGCACTCGAAGTGGTGTATCAGGGTGTGAATGTGTGCGTGCCGGCCTGTACGTACAGGCAAGCTGGTGTATCCTAATGTCACAGTATTTTGTTGATGAGAATCCGTCCGACTTTTTTTATAGGTCCATGACCTAGTTGTTTCAGGAAAATTTTTTACATAGTAGGTATTATGACGGAAACGGAAATCGGAGAGGACGTTTTAATTGGCTCTACCATATGCGCTATCATTATGGAGGAGTACGAACCGATGTTACAACAATAAGCGACAAGGACAAGATTACATGGCTACAATTTAATACAGATATTGTGCTAATAACGGCTTGCCCAAGTATTGTTGGAGTGAGAAGAAGACACAGAAATAGACATTTATTTTTATAGGGTTAAAGAATTTGGATTTTTGCATTCTATTCAATGTGTTGGACCAATTTATTAAACTTGGCTAGCAAATAAAAGCATTGGAATTTCTTTATAGGAATGTTATCCAAAACATTAACACCAGTATTTACAAACGATGCTTGCTTAATTGAAGCAGCAAATCAAACGCATAGCGTTGAATAGAGCTATGTGATTGGTTCGTGTGTCACCCTGTGCGTCGGCGTAAAAGTTTTGACCAAATGCTCCATTTTCCCCTAGAAAAATAGTGAGAGTGTGCTCCTACAATGGAGACGACGAAACGTTCAGGATAGGTTAAAGTTTGGGGACTTAAAAAAGATTTTCCGTATAAGTAGAAAAAAAACTTACCAAAACTTTCATTTTTATCGCACTTGCAAACAAGCTCCCGGCGTCCCAACTCTCAAGTGTCAACTGGACGAAATTACTTCAGCGCACTTATTAAGTATGATACACTGATTAACTATTAACACTCCGGGCATGAGGAGAAGGGGGTATCAAGGAACGATGAAAGGGAATCGCTCAGAGGGGATGAAGGGGATAAGTGGGCTGCCCACACTAATGGGAAGTCGGGGTATTTACTCGTGTTGCTTCATATTTCGTTAATGTTTTAATTAATTAAGATTATCTTAATGGTGGTAATATTTTAAGTGCCCCGCGCTTTCCTATGAATATTAATATGAACATAAACATCATAAAACCATGGTTAGTTTAGTTTACACGTATGGAGCAAGTTTTTTAAATGATATCTCAAGGCATTTAAGTTGATGCTTCGTTCGTTTCAGCCGTAAGACGTCCACTGCTGGACAAAGGCCTCCCCCAAGGCCATCTTCAAAGACCGGTCCTGTGCCGCCCGCATCCAGGCACCTCACGCGACCTTCACCAGATCGTCGGTCCAACTAGTGGTCCATCAAGTTGATGCTGAAGTGGGCCTTAAAAACTACACTAATTCTTATTTAGTTGAGTTAGTCTAGTTATGTTCATTTTAACTTTTTTATTAAACAAAGGCAACAAATCCTGTCAAATGCGAGAGTTATTTCATCATCACTTATAGTACTTTACGAAACCCCGTTTCACCCTATTTCAAAATCAATGAAATCTTAACAAACTTAGACGAAATAAAATCATGTTTCTTTTACAGAAATACTTCCAAGAAAACAGAGTACTGGCCAAAGCAATCGTGGAGGCTCTACAGGACTCCAGATTTGAGGAGGAACTGCTTTTTGACTTGAAGAAAGAAAACCAGGTCTACCTCAACCGCACCATGTCTTTGGTCATCAAGTATATTGTTAAGAGGTAAATATTAATTGTAAAAATGGAAAAAACATCCAATATGCATTAAAAATGTATCCAATTTGATTAGGTGCTTCAGGAATTGGTCTGATTTTCTGAATATGAAATACTTTCCTAGTAAATTTAGGATGTGGGCAGAACCGGTTGCTGTGGAAATCCTTGTGGAAGGCCTTTGTCCAATAATGGACGTCATTTTTCCAAAAAATGTTTCAGAATGCACGTTAATAAGTTATTACAGATGCGAGTTTTTTTATTTTTAACTTTTTTGTTTCAGAGAAGTGGATAACTATAGGTCTCGACGAACTGATGCCATTAGCAGAAGAATCTACTCGTCACTTATTATGAAACTTATCGATATTGCAAAGGTTTGTATGATTAAATTATAACGTTACTCAGTTTAGCATTTGATATTCGCGAATTATTACAATCAATTTATTAATGTTCCTTAGCTATGAATACAAGATGATCAATTTATTCATCTTTACACGAGTAACAACTTTCTTTTTTCTATATTTTTTGTTTTCAAATGCAGAACATGACAGCTATTTTACCATAATAACACCTGGTAATAAGCTTACTTATATACTTATTAGGCAGCATCTTAATGCTGCTTGATTATTTTTTAGTTTTTATGTGGAAAACTCGGCAAAGAGTAGTCATTACCTCTCATCGTGGCACTCACCGAGCTAAGGGGTTATACGAAGACCTTAATCCCATAATCGAACCAAATCTGGATTTATTCCCCTTCCATTCCAAAACTACATTGACCAAATAATATCTTTAACAGGATCTACCCCGCAACACGAGTGCCAGCAACCGCATAGAGACAGCCCATAGATACTACACGTCGGTGGAGAGCCGAGACATGCACGACCAGATGGCCGACGTGCAGGTCTTCCACGCGTGCGCACGGCTGTACGACATTATGTTCACTGTGGGTACCTGTTCCTATGCTCAAATCAAATCAAATCAAACATTTTTATTGCATAATGTAGGTACATACAGGTCACTCAATAAAATATTGTTCAGCTACATATCGGCTCTACAAAAATCTGCGTACGAAACATCTAAGCGAGTGCTGAGAGTGACTCTAGTTTTGAAGGCTCACTCCTTAATTCTTACAACAACACATCTACTCTCTCTCTCTAGATTCGAAGGTTAGTAAGAAAGGTATTCAGTTTGTTCAGGACAACCTAATGTTGCAACAAGAAATATGGATTTTGTGCTTTAGAGGGCAATGGTCAAATTGGTCAATGGTCAAGGTCATACCATCGCGGCATCGGTCCAATTGAGCCATGCCAGGCGCCAGGTTTATTGGGTCTACCTCGGTTAGAGATAAGAATGTTTGGCGACCACTGCGATGACTGACGGCTACCTAGCAACCCTTTTTTGATACACGAAAAATAACACTTATTTTTAAACAAACAGTCGATTCCATCTAAAGTTGTAATAAAAGTAATACCTAAGCAGTTTTATTTCATTTCTTGCATAGTAATTTGGACACTGTCTTCTTTTTCGCTCAGGCACCACGGATCCTAGCTCAATTGGGGAAACTAGATGACCTCACGCCCCGACTGCTTGTGAGAAAACTTAAAGCCATGGAGATTAAGCCAGTGCATTTAGGAGTGGCTTTACTTATTCAGGTATTGTACGGGCGGGAGGCAGTGGNTGCTCGTACAGGTATGTTAATTTTATTACCTACTGTTTAAATGGCTGAATATTGAAACATTGGTTCGCTTTGATAGCGAATTAGCGACGAAGACATAATCCTGTGACTGCTACTTGGTGTAGTGTGAAGCGTAGAATATTATTTAAATGTTGGTTTTGGTTCTAAACAATAAGTCTAAATCACAGATCACAGAAACTAAAGGGAGATGTGACAAGGGGGCGGGACCGGTGTCGCAGCAATATGCTCAAAAAGAGAACACATTGCTCGTGAAAGCAATGATGACAGCAGCGACGTCATAATGTAAACAGCTTTCATTGCTTGCTTAGTACTAAAGATTATTCGAACGTTGAGACTGTTACCGCAGTGGATAACGAGCACACATTTTGATTTCTTTATGTGTGTGAATTTCTATGGCATCTTTCTATATCTCTATGGTCTAAATGGTTTCGGATGGTTCATCAAAAATATTGTTACATTCAATTTGATGTTACTTTGACACGTTTCAGTACTACCTCCGCAACACCGTCAACTTCGCGATACGGTCCCGCACCATCGAGGTTCTAGCCACCAAGCCCCAGGACGTGGGTCCCCAGGTCATCGACATGCTAAAGGCGCTAGCCGCTCGTCTGCTGCCCGTGGCCGAATTACTGGATGTCCACCTGGCGCACTCCAGTCCTGCCTTCAAGGACTCCTGCCCTAACACCTGGCTTGGTATTGTCAACAATAAACAACTGCGATAGCACAGTCTTTTGTTTTTTTTTTTTCAACTTTGGAAACCTAAAGAAATTAAAAATTAGAAACGTTTGACAAAAAAAAACAAATGACAATTATTGTCATTTGTTTTTTTTTTCAAACACAAATAGAAAACAAATGCGGTACTTAGCTGTCATTTGTCTTTCAATTCATTTTGGAATCCTAAGGTGCCATTTTGCTTAGTGCTTAGTCTGTTGTGCTGTCACCTGTGAAAGAGATGGGTTCCCAAGTCATCGACATGCTAAAGGCGTTAGCCGCTCGCCTGCTGCCCGTGGCCGAACTACTGGATGTCCACCTGGCGCACTCCAGCCCTGCCTTCAAGGATTCCTGTCCTAACACCTGGCTTGGTATTGTCAACAATAAACAACTGCGATAGCATAGTCTTTTGTTTTTTTTTTTCACATTTCGAACCCTGGCCTCTAAGCTTTTAATCGTAAATAAAAACAAATGCGACAGCTGTCATTTTGTCTTTTTTGAATTTTGGAATCCTGTGATATTCAAATGCTAGCTCAATCATTTGTTTTTTATTCAACTTTAGAATCCTTCTTCATCGAATGCGTAAAATCAAATTCGATGGTTGTCATTTATTTTTTAACTATCTTTGGAATTTTGATCCTAGAGAACAGCATGTTCACACTAAGCATGTTGCTCTTTCGCTTCATCTTCCAGCTGTTTTTACAAGCTTTTTATTACTTTCACATGTCTGGTGTCTGTCGTCAAATCTTGCAACTTAAAATTGACCCACTTCCCGGTTTCCTATTGAGCTGAAATTTTGCATACAATATGTGTAAGTCCGATGACAATGCAATATTATGGTACCATTGAGCTGGTCTGATGATGGAGTCGGGAGGTGGCCATAGGAACTCCTAAACAAAACGGCGGAAACTCATCGAGTTTGGGTTCGTTGGATTTGTCTTTTCGAGCACTTTAGTGTTAGATAACGTCCAGGGTCCTGAGATTAAGATATAACTAAAAAGTGTAAAATAAAATTATAATAAAAATAAACTTTTTTAAAAACAAGCTTTTATTCTGAATTTCGAAAGCTTGTAGCGCAAACAGAGAAAAAGAGGAATAAATTCCATGCGCGATACAAACTTTCGAAATTCAGAATAAAAGCTTGTTTTTAAAAAAGTTTATTTTTATTTATTTAAGTAGTTTATTTAATGAACATAAAAAAGAATTTGGAAGATGTTTTTAAAAGGTCCCAAAGCTGCTTCCAAAATAAATTTTAGTTCCTATTTTGGCAACTTAACGGCAAAAACGTGTTCAATTAGAATTAATTGAAAGGGAAGTTGTGACAGTAAAGATGATTTATGAACTTTGAACAAAATATTTTACGATACGAAGGCTATACAGTTACGAGAAGTAAGACCTTTTACCTAAGATATTCGTACCTTATGACCAAATAGTCTTCAATGAAGTAATTGTTGGTCAAACCTTTATTAGTAACTAGCTGAACAGGCGAATTTCGTACCCTCTATATTCATCAGAAATAATGTAGGATTATAGTGAAAGAATTATTCAAATCGGTCCATAGTTTCGGAACCTATTCAATACCAACAATCAAATCATTCTTCTATAAAATATAGTGTAGATGACAATAGCAGTGACCGTATTTTGAAATTGTGTGCCTAATGTTAAGCTTAAAAATCGGAAGATTTTTATAACTTGATTTGCTTGCTAGTTGTGTTTATAATTAAAAATAAACGCTATTTACTATAAATCAATTTTTTACAAGTAAGCTTTTAAAAAGCACTTTTACACGTCCCAGTATTAACCTTGCCACTGCTTCAGGACAATAAATGGGCCAGTGCTGAGAAGAAGCAGCGTTTGTGACTAAGAATTAACTCAAGGAAAAGGATAGTGGTTAATAGATACATCATAAACAAAAACGTAAGGAGAAACCCTTGTGTTTCCCTTATTCCAGCAACTTCTAAGCTATTTCCTACTTCCTTTCCCGTCTAAACTTGTAACTGTTTCCTCAGTGATGTCAGTTAAAATTCCCGGTGCAATCCCTTGGCAGTACTATGATCCGCGTTTTTATTAGGCAGCCCGATTTATCGCCTATAAAGTGCACGCGTCTGTATCGCGTGCGCGTATCGGTTGCGGGCCACGAAACGCGCTGTTTTTGGGACACGTGCTGTTTTAGACAAAGTGTTACCAATTTGAATTAGAGGGGGAATATTTTATGTTGTTTGGGAAATGAAAATTTGAAAAGCTTATTTCTAGTCATTCTGCCCACTGGCGAGCTTAAAGCATGGCCAGGGACATTATTGGGACATTAGTTGTGTTAAATTATGTTTGAAGTTAAAATTTTAATCAGCTAAAACAAAACGAAACTAAACAAAACCTACGAATTAGACATTACTATGGAACTACTGATAGGATTGGAATATCCACCTCAAAATTAAGTTGAATTTCCTAATGTGTAACATTTTTATGTACTCTATTTATCTGCTGCATAATCTGGTATTTTAAACTGTAATGTTAAAGTTTTTATTCTAGTGCATGAGTTTTGATATGCAATTTATGATGTCGTTTCATTTTATTGTGAAACTGCTGATCATCAGTTTTGTGTAGAGTACAATAATAACTATCTACAGTCATCAAAGCCAATCGTTAACCTAATTCTCCATATCGCTCGTTTCGTGGCCCCACTGCCAATTTCACTATACTGTGCGCGCGCGCAGTCCATTATATACAATTTACGAGGCCGAGTTATGGGCTTATGGTTATTTTTATGAAAACATCGTTTGTTCTCGCCGTACAGTCGGCGACGATATATGAGATTACTTTTTAATCCTACTGTATTGTTAAAAAGTACGAAAATATTTATGCATTTTTTATGACTATCCAATGGGTTTTGGTCTGGCTTAAAAGTAAGGGATTTAGGAAAAAAACGTGACGATATCCGCGAATTTCATGCTGGGAAATACATTCTAGTTGTAATTATAAATGTTTAGGCATACGTAGGGTCTTCAAGATAATTAGTACACTTTAATAAGACAAGTCTAGGAACTCGAAAACTAAGAAATTTACTATTTTTTCAACTTTTCAGTGTTCAAATTTTTCACAATCAACTGCACCATTCATAACTTCCTCAAAATCAACTTTTAGTAAATACCTACTCATTAATTAAATACGGCTTGTGCCATATCACGTTATCTCTAATTTGATTGACTGGTAATGAATATTATCCATACTAATATTAGAAATGCGAAAGTAACTCTGTCTGTCTGTCTTGCTTTCACGCCTAAACCACTGAAGCGATTTTGATGAAATTTGGCATAGAGATAGTTCCCGAGAAAGGACATAGGATAGTTTTCATCCCGGTTTTTGAAACAGGGAAGCGAGCGATAAAGTTTTTCTGTGACAGACAAAATTCCACACGGGCGAAGCTGCGGGTGGAAAGCAAATTATGCAGCTGCTTGTATCTATTCGTTCCCGTGACACAGTGTAGCTTTTGTAAACATTGTGACTTCTACTATTTATGTGCCCATTATCACGCTGAAATGGGTTACAATATGCGTAATGGCCATTTGATTCGTTAAAATAGCATTTTAATACTTCACCACGTAGGTCAAAATAAAAAATCGAGTATCCAGACCAGCGGTGGCGTTATAATTACGTTATAAGTGTCAGACATAATTCTGATAATTATTTCACTATTTTACTCTACGTCTTTCGTCTCAGAGGTTCAGGGTTCGGCATTGATGATCCACAGGATAGAAAAAGCAATCATCAACTAAAAATAGAGTGTGACACCGCGTAAGCAATAAATTATCCGAAAGGTTTACTTTTCATTAGATAGAGCTTAATTAACTACGAATATACTTTATGCATAATATGAAATATGAACAAAATGTCTCAAAGCCAAAATAAAATGACTTGATGTTATTAAATAATAAAGTACTTTGATATTCTATCATTTTATTAGTCAACACAATCGGTTTCCATGGAAACGTCATACGACACGGCCATAGATATGACAGTGTCCTCCCCCGTTAATTCTTCAGTTAATGGTGACTGCTCGTGCCTGGAGCATTTGGTCCACGTGACGCCGCACCATTTCCACCATTATTTTGTATGCTCCTAAGAGATTTCTTGATAGTTTGAACAAATCTTTCAGCCTGTCCATTTGTTGCCGGATGGTATGGAGCTGACGTTCGGTGTGTTACTCCAGATTCCTTTAAAAAATTCTCAAATTCCAATGATGTAAACTGTCGTCCATTATCGGATATCAAAATGTTGGGATGTCCAAATGTGGTAAAAATATCTTTTAGCTTATTATAATGGAAATCGTTTCCCGTCCCTTATTGCCATGAAAATAGAAGCATAATGGTTTGTCGCGTGAAAAAGCGCCCGTGGGGGGTAGGGCGGGCGATGACGGCTCGCTTGGAGCCGAGCTGATGCGATTAAGGCACCACGACTCGGTGCCTGGCTATGGAGACGGGGCCATAGACATGACAGATGTAAAGTGAAATCGACACATATTTATTTACACGATGTACAACAACATGTCAAAAATCAATTCTATTAAGTCCCTGTAGTTCCTCCCTCCCACCTTTTAGGTCTTCAAATAATTTAACTCCACCGAAACAAAACGTCCTACAAACAAGTGACAAACGTCGTGTGCATTGTTAGAGCACTATAGACTGAAATACGACAAAACTGTCTGGCGGATGTGGAAACAACTTCTAATCATTTTTATATAAAATATTAGGGCAATAATTAGAAGTAGTTTCCTCATCAGTTTTGACAGTTCCAACTCCTTGCCAGATAGTTTTTTTAGGATAGCTGCCAAAGCCACGATAACCCAAACTTCATGATTCACTAATATTCTATCCTATATTGGGAGCATACGCTGACAAACTTTCAGCTTTTATACAATGACGTAGGTCTGGCGTTCACCAGCTCTTAGTCTACACCTTTTAGGTCTTCAAATAATTTAACTCTACGTCCCACAAACTGTCGTGACAAGCGTCGT